GGGAGAAGGCGGGGAGTGGGCGGGCGGGGGCGGGGGTCAGCAGGGGTGCGGGTGGGCAGGGGCACAGGTTGTCTTCCTACTCTACTGCACACCTCTCACCTGCTGTTCTCCACCCCTCTCAAGGCTCCGCTTGGGCCTCCTCTTCCAGGAAGCCTTCCCTGACTACCACCCCACCCCTCGGTTGGTCTGGACCCCTAGTGCTCTGTGCCATTGTCCACGAAGGCAGGGTCGAGTCTTCAGAGGGCAGGGGCTGTGCCCTGGCTTTAACACTCCTCTTGCCCCCGTCGCAGTTCTAAGATCCGAATCCGGGATGGGCGAGCCAAGCCTATCGACTTGCTGGCCAAGTACATCAGTGCTGAGGACGACGACCTGGCCGTGGAGATGCATGAGCCCTACACCTTCCTCAACGGGCTCACCGTGGCCGACATGGAGGACCTGCTGGAGGACATCCAGGTACCTGCCCGGGTGGATGACCCTCACCCCCGCCCCGCCTGCCCCCAGAGGACAGCCCTCACCCCCGCCCCACCTGCCCCCAGAGGACGACCCTCACCTTGCCCCACCTGCCCCCAGAGGATGGCCCTCACTCCCGCCCCACCCCCGGTCCTCAGGCCCCACCCTGAGAGGACGTCCCCTCACCCCTGCCCTCTGCTCCCCGCCAGGTGTACATGGAGCTGGAGCAGGGCAAGAACGTGGACTTCTGGCGGGATATGACCATCATCACTGAGGATGAGATTTCCAAGCTGCGAAAGCTGGAGGCGTCAGGCAAGGGGCCAGGTGACCATGGGGCCCAGAGATGTCCACGTGCACACCCGGTGCTGCAGGGCTTGGAGAGTGGTCAAAGATCGCTGGGTCCGATGTGGCAGACGTCAGGAAGCCCCAGACGCTCGGCGTGACCTGGTTTCCGCTGTGCCTCAGTTTCCCTGTCTGTGGTCTCCATGATCCCTCTCATGGCTTCCTTTGAGAGGGCACCCTGCCTCCCATGAGCACCAGGGGGCAGCACCCAGGTGGCCTGGGCGGCTGGTCCTGGACTGTGGAGCTCACTCAGAGCAGGGAACACGCAGAGTGGACAGACTCTGCCCCGGCCCCCACGCAGCCCAATCCCGGGCAGCTTCTCGGCTGGGCCTTTCACACCCTGTCAGCTGGCGGTGGTTTTTAAGTTTTTTTTTTTTTCCTGAAAGTGTTTACATGTGCGTCATCGAGAGGGGAGCTAACTCTAAAGCGGTATTTTTTCTCCTCGGCACAGCTAACACGGGGCTGGGTGTTCTCTGGGCTGGGGTCGTCCTGTGCACTGTAGGGCGGCGAGCAGGCCTCCACCCACGCCCCACTCGATGCCGGGGATACGTTGCCCCCCACCTCCTGTGGGCGTTGCGTCCCTGTCATCACACCCCGTCCTTCCGTTGTTCTCTCAGGCGTTACCGCCACCTGCCACGTGGTGGCCCGGGCTGTGCGATGACACGTCCCCTCAGAGCTCCGCCCCCCAGGAGCCTGTAAATACTGTTCGCCGATCAGGGTGGTCGGTCGGGATGATTTCCTTCCTTTTAGGAAAAAGAGTGATATGCTTTATCTTTCTAAATTCAGTTTTGTTTTTGTTTTTACCGAGGTGATCTTGGTTCATCCTGCCTCTCGCTCAGGCGTTTTTCTGGATAGGCTCAGCGGCCTGCCGAGGGGGCTCACCTCCATGCTGGTGACCAGCTTGGTGACCTTGGTTCATCCTGCCTCTCCCTCAGGCTTCTCTCTGTGGGGCTCAGCAGCCTGCCGAGGGGGCCCACCTCCAGGCTGGTGACCAGCTTGTTGACCTTGGTTCATCCTGCCTCTCCCTCAGGCCTCTCTCTCTGGGGCTCAGCAGCCTGCCGAGAGGGCTCAGTTCCAGGCTGGTGACCAGCAGGGTGACCTTGGCTGGTCGTGTTGCCTCCTCAGAGCCCGGTTGTCTTGTTCACTCGACAGGGATAAGATACCTGTATAGGCGGTAGACCATGTGAAGACAGAGTGGGTAAGCAGTTGTAAAGCATTTAAAACAGCGCCCGCCGCGGTGAGTGCTGGTACTGTAGCGGTAACCTTCCTAGCAGGATAAGTGGTGGTTAGTTGCTGTGAGGTCGAGTCGGACTCGTGGTGACTGTGACGATTAAGATTGTGTATTAATTTGGCAGGGCTATGATTCTTAGTGGCTTGGCAGTTATGAAATGATGTAATCAACTCCATGATGAGATCTACTGTGAGCAGCCAATCAGTGGAAAGGGAGTTCTTTGGGGGTGTGGCCTTCTTCCAGCGAATACATGGATGTTCTCGTAAGGCTGTCTGTCGGGATCCTGGACCTCCCAGCAGTGCACCTGGTTTTTCACTTTGCTTGGAAGGAGAAATGGCTGGATACGCGATTGATTCATGGGCTGTGACCAGTGGTTTGGCTGGATGGTCAGGGACTTGGAAGGAACATGATCGGAAAATTGGAGACAAGGAGGTATGGGAAAGAGGTATGTGGATAGACTTCTCTGAATGGGCCAAAGAAGTGAAGATATTTGTGTCTCGTGTGAATGCTCACCAAAGGCTGACCTCAGCAGAGGAGGAGTTTTGCTAGTTAAAGAAATTTAATAATCATGGTGGCAGGGGTGGAGGTTATGTATGGGTTCAGCAACATGGATTTCCACCCACCAAGGCCGACTTGGCTACGGCCACTGCTGAGTGCCCAATCTCAGAGACCAACACGGAGTCCCTGATAAGGAACCATTCCTTGAGGTGATCAGCCAGCAACCTGGTGGCAGGTTGATTACGTTGGAGCAGTTCCGTCATGGAAAGGGCAGTGTTTTGTTCTTACTGGAGTAGACACTCTGAATACGGATTTCCCTTCCTTGCATCTGTGAACTTACAGAAAGTCTTATCCGCCATCATGGTATCCCACACAGCACGGCCTCAGATCAATGAACTTAACTTTACACCAAATGAAGTGCGGCAGTGGGCCCACGCTCATGGAATTCACAGGTCTTTCCATGTTCCCCATCATCCTGAAGCAGCTGGCTTGATAGAATGATGGAATGGCCTTCTGAAGACACAATTATGGCACCAGCTAGGTGGTAATACCTTACAGGGTTGGGGCAGTGTTGTCCAGCAGGCTGTATATGCTCAAACCAGCATCCAGTATATGGTGCCGCATCTCCCATAGCCAGGATTTATGGGTCCAGGAATCAAGGGGTGGAAATGGGAGTGGTACCACTCACTATTACTGGTAGTGACCCCCTGGCAAGATTGTTGCTTCCTGTCCCTGTAGCCCTATGCTCTGGAGGTCCAAGGGTCTTAGTTTCAAAGGGAGGAATGCTCCCACCTGGATACACATCACTGATTCCGTTGAACTGGAAGCTAAGAATGCCACCTGGTCCCTTTGGGCTCCTTATGCCTCTGGATCAACAGGCAAAGAAGGGAGTTACCATATTAGCTATGTATGGTTGATCCTAATCACCAAGAGGAAATCGGACTGATACTGCATAAGAGAGATAAGGAAGAGTATGTCTGAAATGCAGGAAATCCCGTAAGACGTCTGTTAGTATTACCATGCCCTGTGATTAGAGTTAGTGGAAAACTACAACTACCCAATTCCAACAGGACTCCTAATGGCCCAGACCCTTCAGGAATGAAGGTTTGGGTCACCCCACCAGGTAGAGACCCATGACCAGCTGAGGTGCTTGCTGAAGGCAAAGGGAATACAGAATGGCTGGTGGAAGAAGGTAGTTCTAACTGCCAGTCACGGCCACGTGACCAGTCGCAGAAATGAGGACTGTAATTGTTAACAAGTATTTCTTCCTTGTTTGTGTACATCAAGGAGCCCTGGGGGTTCAGTGGTTAAGAATTCGGCTGCTCACCAAAAGGTCAGCAGTTTGAATCCACCAGCTGCTCCTTGGAAACCCTATGGGGCAGTTGTATTTTGTTATATGGGGTCACTATAGTCGGCCTTGACAGCAGTGGGTTTATGTGCGCATCAAGTGTTTTTGTTTTCTTCACTTATGAAATATAAGATGTAAACTGGGTTTGTGCATTTTTGGTTGTATGTTACTTGTATCACGTTAAGCCCAAGTACGATTTTGTAATTGTTTTTATTTGGAGGTCGTGTATGGTTTAAGGAGATGTGTGCAGGTGCCAGGTCGACAAGGGATGGACTGTGATGGTTAAGGTTGTGTCAGCCTGGCGGGGCCATGATTCTCAGTGGTTTGACTGTTTTCTAATGAAGTAATTAACTCCATGAGGGGATCTGCTATGAGCAGCCAGTCAGTTGAAAGGGTATTTCCTTGGGGGTGTGGCCTAACTCCAGTAAACAAATGGATGTTCCGACAAGGCTGTCAGTCTGGATCCTGCATCTGATTTGTCATCGTCTGACCTCTGGTTCTTGGGACTTGAGCCAGCAGCCTGCCATATTGCCTGCTGATCCTGGGGTTTGTCAGCTGCCACAGCCTGTGAGCCAGTGGCTGCCGTCTTACCTGCCAGTCTTGGGCTCATCAGCCTCTGCAGCCCACGAGCCAGCGGCCTGCCACATCTGGCTTGCGGATCCTGGGTTCATGAGCCCCTCTGGGTACATGAGTCAGGAGAAGCCTCCAGCCTGAAGCCTGACTCACACACTTGGGATTTGCCAGCCTCTACAACCATGTGAGCCGTTTCCTTAAGATAAATCTCTGTGTCTCTCATTTTTTCTCTCTGTAGCTATATGTGTGTATGTATATGTATATATACTTGTACGTGTCAAGGATTTCATTTTACATGGACCCTCAGCCAACACCCATGGAAGCAGCCGTCAGGAAATCAAAAGACGCACTGCATTGAGCAGATCTGCTGAAGAAGACCTCTTTACAGTGTTGAAAAGCAAAAATGTCACCTTGAGGACTAAGGTGCGCCTGACCTAAGCCATGGTATTTTCAGTCACCTCGTATGCATGCGAAAGCTGGACAACAAATAAGGAAGATCAGAGAAGAATTGACGCCTTTGAATTGTGGTGTCGGTGAAGAATACTGAATACACCGTGGACTGCCAGAAGAACGAGCAAATCCGTCTTGGAAGAAGTACAACCAGAATGCTCCTTGGAAGGATAGCAAGACTACGTCCTACATATTTTGGACATGTTGTCAGGAGGGACCAGTCCCTGAAGAATGACATCACGCTTCGTAAAGTACGGGATGAGTGAGGAAGACCGTCAGTGAGATGGACTGACACAGTGGCCGCAACAGCGGGCTCAAGCGTAACGACGACTGTGAGCAGGGCGCAGGACCGGGCAGTGTTTGCTTCTGTGGTGCACGGGGTCGCTATGAGTTGGAACCGACTTGACGGCACCTAACGACAAGAACGGCAACGTACGTATACGTACGTGTATATGTGTGCAGATATGCGTTTCACTGGTTTTGCTTCTCTAGAGATCTCAGCCTAAGACAGCAACTCCATGTGTACAGAGTAGAACTGCCCCGTAGGGTTTTCAAGGCTGTGACCTTTTGGAAGTTGATTGCCAGGCCTTTCTTCTGAGGCACCTCTGGGTGGGTTCGAACCACCAGTCTTTAAGCTAGTAGGTCAGCGCTTGACTGTCCGGCCCCGGACTGCACAGTAGTGTTCCTAGTAGCATGGGTAGCAGTGGTGTCCTCATCGCTGTTGTAGGTACCTGGTAACTAAGAGCAGATGCCCCGTTAGCCTCTCCCAAGACACAAGGCCCCTCCCACCGGGCGGCTCTCCTGAGTCACTGTCTCTAGAGTGTTGACAGCTCATGCCCTACACAGATGGGCCTCCCAGGTCTCACTGTCCCCGGTTGCTGGATGTCCGGGTGGCACCCAGCCTTTCGCTCCTACAGAGCAAGGCCGCGTCCAGAACCCACTTTCCTTAACCGACTCCCCAGCAAGCATCTGCGTGGGCTCCTTTGTTTGCGGTGTAAATTTCCCCTGGCGGCTCTGTCTGCGTGAGTGAGCGCAGGTCCGCAGGCCCAGAGAGGGAAGAGGTGCCCTCCCAACAGGTTTTCCCACGCGTTACGCTTACGACCCTTGGGGCCGTGGCTGCATCTCGAGATCTCAGTTCCCAGGCCTGAGCTGATCAGCTGGAGGGGACCAGGATCCCTCTTGACCCTGTCCAACCACCTGGGGTCTGGGCATGGGCCCCTGGGTCCTTTGCCCACAGCAGGGGTTGGAGAAGGGGACTTCGAACAGAGAGCTTGGGCTGGTCACAAAACAACTCTGTCCTGGGCTCCCCGTGAGCCTGGCCTGGTGCTGGGAAACAGCAATGGAGTGTTGACGAGGTCACTTCCCTCAGGAAGTCACAAACCAGACTTTTGGGTCAAGAGGAGGGCTCAGTGAGGGGGGCCTGGGAAGGCTTCCTGCTGGAAGCAAGGCTCCTGCTGGAAGCAAGGCTCCTGCTGAGCACCCAGGACGGGTGGCGATGGGCAGAACGGCTGGGAGGGGAGGATGTGCTGTTGGCCACAAGCACAGCATGTGCCAAGGCCCTGGGGTAGGCAGGGCTTGGGGCCTGATGATGAGCTGTCAGGGTGCCGGGCTGAAAAGGTTGGAGAACAGCCTTGGGCCCCAGCCTGTGACAGCTGCTGTGAGACAGGGGACAGGGTCCCAGGTGGTGTGAGGACAACTTCTCAAGGATTGGGGGGTGAGGGAGGGGGACAGCAGCAGGAGTCAAACCCGGGAAACGTGACTGTTCTTCCCATGCTGAGGCGCCCGTGTGTCATCTCCTCCGGCTCGGAGGGTGAGCCACCTGCCCAGGGCTACATGGTGGGGCCCAGCGGAGCCAGGGTCTGGGTTCCAGAGTCCAGCTGCTGAGTGTCCCCCCACCGAAGTGGTTCAGACCGCGTGAGGAGTGAGGCTCAAGCATAACAACAATTGTGAGGATGGCGCAGGACCGGGCAGCGTTCTGTTCTGTGGTGCACAGGGTCGCTGTGAGTGGGAACCGACTTGACAGCACCTAACAATGAGGAGTGAGGGGGCAGGGGCGGTGGGCCTGGGGTGCCAGCCCAGCTGCTGGGACTTGGCCCAGGCGCCGTGCTTCCAGAGCCGTGTGCCCACGTCGCCAGGAGCGGCCAGGAATGCAGGCCCCAGCCCACCCTGCCGGCCGTGGAGCCAGACTCGGGACCCAGCCGGCGCCTGCACTTCCAACAGTAACCAGCCGAGGTCCACAGGCGCTCCCAAAACAAGGCCGCTGGTCCCGGCTCAGTGCCCGGAAGACTCAGCCCAGTAGGGGGACCTGGGAATTGGGGGTTCAGGGGTGGTGGGCAGGGATGCAGGTCCCGCCCACACTGAGCACTCCCCTTCTCCCCAGGTGAGCGCCGCGAGGGCGTCAACGCCTCGGTCAGCTCGGACGTGCAGTCGGTCTTCAAGGGGAAGACGTACAGCCAGCTGCAGGTCATCTTCCAGGGCATCGAGGGCAAGATCCGCGCTGGCGGCCCCAACCTGGACATGGGCTACTGGGAGAGCTTGCTGCAGCAGCTCCGCGCACACATGGCGCGCGCCAGGTCAGCGGCCGGTGGGTGGGCAGCGGGTGAGCGGGCGGGCAGGCAGGCGTGCAAGTGAGCAGGCAGGCGTGCAGGTGAGCGGGCGGGCAGACAGGCAGGCAGGCAGGCAAGCGTGCAGGTGAGCGAGCCAGGCAGCAGGCAGGCAAGTGTGCAGGCAGGCAGGTCAGCAGATGCGTGGGTGGGCAGGCAGACAGGCATGTAGGCCTGGCCATACGCCAGGTGCCATCCTGGGCAGGTCTCCCCGTCTCAGGCCAGCCTCACAGGTGGTGTCCGGAACGTCCTAGCGGCACCTGTGGGCATCCCCACGGCCCACCTCTCTCCTCCTGTGACACCCAGCCCAGGTAGGGGGACTGGGTGGAATGGTTCCTAAGCAACCTTTCAAAGCAACAGCAGCCGGGTCATGGCCAGGGGTGCCGCCAGCGTGAGAACTCACCCCACCCCGCGATGCCCCCAGGGTCCTGAGCCCACGGCTGCCCTGCAATGCTGTTTGCTCTCCTTCCGGCCCCGAAGGAGCCCAGGGCCTTCATCTCCCTCGGGGTCGTCAGCCTCACAGCACGGCTGCAAGGCCGATGGCCCCCGGCCCCCTGCCCGTCCCACACGGGGCTTGTGTACATTTTCTCAGTGTACTTGGCATCACCGTGTGAACAGAGCGTCTCCTCACACCCTCTCGCCGCAGTGGAGCTGTGTGAGCGCCCGAGCCTGCCTCCCTCCCCAGGACACCCTCCCTGCCTGAGACACCCCCATTCAGGAGACCCCCGCCCATGTTCCTGAGCCCAGCCTGTGGCCATCAAGTCACATCACATGTGAACCTGATTCAGGGACCCTTGTCTTTCCCCACCCTGGACAGTTCTCAGGGATTTGGGCTTCACGGTTCTCGGTCATGTCTGGGGCCTCAATCATGTTGGGGTCTTGGCTGGCTCTGAGCAGAACCCAGGACTGGGGGGCAGGCCTGACGACCCCCCACCCGTGTCCCAGACTCTGAGCAGAACCCAGGGCTGAAGGGCAGGC